ACTTATTCTCCTTTTACCAATGTTACTCTCTTTGACTTCAAGCTTCATATCCATTAACATGTGATTCTTATAAACTCTAACAGTGGAAAAACAAACAGCTGGGTGAACTCTCCGTTTCAGGCTTTTGGATACTTTGCTTCTTGGTAAGTGATCAGTATTTTGATACTCCCGTAGTAATAACAGGAAATGATCTGTTAAAATCTGGATCTCCAGCTACAGATGAATGCCAGTGTAAAGAGGAGAGGTAGTCTCCAAACAAAGTCTATGAAAACAGTTTGGATAATTATTTCTAAGACCACAGGGAGAGAGTAGTAATATGCACTCAACACTGGAAAAGTGAATGCACAGAAAAACATCTTAGACTTATAGTCATTGCTGAATTACATCAGAGAAAAACTATTGCTACAAACTTGGCAATTTTGACTGAGATGGCAAATGCTAGAACATCAATAGTATTTCTGTTAAAATACCATTCCCTGAAATTAAAATTCACTCCAGAAAAGTTTCAGAAGTAGGCAGAACAATTCTAAATTAGTCTAATTTAAGTCTGCTTCTTCTTTCCAAAATAAGAAGCTGGTTCTATTCACCAGAAAAGATAAAAGAAGACACACAATGGTAGTGGAGATAGTCTTGGAATAAAGCTAGGGTATTTTCATATAAAACTTAAGATTGGTTAAAAGTATTAAAAATAACTTCCTGTATGAAAGTGCCATGGATTATAACATTTTCTTAGATTTATAGTACAGAGTTTTCCAATTAATCAGGCTTAATATTTTTCCTGTTAATATTATTATGGAAAATTAATAAACTAATCAGCAAGAACTTCTCCTTCACCACTTTCCACCCTGCAAGGTCTTCTAGGTACAATGGAAAAAAAACACCCAACAGACATGTCACACAGAGAGCTTCCTTGTAGAAGGTTGGTAAACAGTCTGACACAGTAAAAATTTTCCAGCACCATACCTCGAGGAGTCACAGCAAAAGTCAAGAAACCCAGAACAATCTGGGCAAAAGAAGATAATCTTGGTTAAAAGATCTACAGAGCAAAAATATTCTCATATAACTGTAATTACATAAATTATATTCTCTAATGTCTCAATGTAATATATTTTGAAAATTTCTCTTAAAAAGCTAGTTACCTAAATAAAACTAATAACCTAGAACACAATTAAAATAATAAACATATTTTTCTAGTTATGAATTGTATACCAATAACAATTTCCTAAATTAAAAATAGGTAAATTAAATAAATCATATATATTTCATCCTGTACTAAACAGTAATAATGACTAAAAGGACAGAAGTCATAGTATCTAAAATTGTCTTTCAAGATTTGCCTGTTTTAATCATTGAACACTTTCAAACAAGAATAAATGTATAAAACATCACTTGGTTCTGAATATACAAATCATGTTACTCTAATTGTTACTAATATAAAAACAATGATAGTCTGGATTCAATAATAGGCTTAAAATGTGAAAAACTGGCTGATATATCAAATAGTCTTTCAAAAATTATACCTTTCTACAATGTCTTCTTTAGCTTCGCCGCTATCTTCCTAAGAATTAAATTCTCCTTTCTCCTCTATACTTTTTTCAACCCATTAGAGATCTTAGACTTTCTAGATTCTTATTTAGTTGGTCAGAGAGCTTTTCCTAGTACACTATAAATAACTGGAAAGCAAACTGGACATCAGATTTATCTTGGTTTCCTTATTATATCTAATTCAATTCCCAAAATCTAGGCACACACAAATCAGCTGTGCTGTGACTGTTTAATTTAAAATTCCACAACTTTTCATAGTTTTGTATAACACTATTTCCTCACATAATAACCTGATTTATACCTAGATTACATGGGAAATCAAATTTTTTAATCTTATAACCACAGTTTTTACAATACTAAAAAGCATTTATTTGCAAATGAATCACTGAATTTTCTGCCACTGTTATTGTTACAACAGCTTTTCCAATCTGTTTTTTATTCTCAGGCCTCATATAATAAAAAATGTACGAACTTCAAATCTGGCATCTTTTAGGCAATTCCTACTTGAGTTACATAAAATAAGCTATTTATAAATCAGCTTTATTGAGGTATAATTCATATACAATATACTGCATATATTTAAAATATACAAGTTCATGACTTTCAGCAAATGTATACAGTTGTGAAACCATTGTTATCATCAGGATAATGAACATTCCCATTATCCACCAAAGTAGTCCATTCCTTCTCTCTACTCCTATCTTACAGAATCACTGCTCTACTTTGTCACTTTAGATGTCTGTATTTTCTGGAATTTTACTTTAAAATGAATCATATATATGTACTCTATTTATACAGCTTTTTCCTCTTAATAAAATTATTTTGTGAGGGCTGGGGATTTAGCTCAGCAAATGCAAGGTCCTGAGTTTGATCCCTGGTACAAAAAAAATTACTTTGTGAATTCATCCATGTTTTTGCACATATGAACAGTTCAATCATTTTTTATTGGTAAGCACTACTTCATTATATGGATATACTTTAATTTCTTTATACATTCTCTTGTTGATCCAGATTTGAGTTGCTTCCAGAAAGTTTTGAAGTATCAACTGAACATCTTCAATCTGAAAATCCAAAATCTGAAATTTTTTCAGATTTGGCACTGATGTGGTGCCAAAAAAAGATAATTTTACACCTGACCTCACATGACAGGTCATAATGGAAACTCAGGCACACTAAAAATACTGTATAAAATTACCTGTGCATAAGGTGTATACGACATATAAATGATTTTCATGTTTAGAAATTTGGATTTTTATTCTTAAAATATCCCACTATGTATATGTAAATATTTCAAAATCCAAAAATCCAAAGCACTTCAGAGCCTAAGCATTATGGATAAAGGATACTAAACCTGTATTGCAAATAAAGCTGCTATGAACATTCATGTATAAATTTTTATATGGACATGTACGCTCTTTACTCTGGCAAATATAAAGGAATAGAATGGCTGGGTCACATATCTTCCTTGGTGAAGTATCTGTTCAAATCTTTTGCTCATTTTTTAATTGGATTTTTTTTTCTTTTTACTGCTAAGTTGTAAGAGTTCACTGTATAGTCTAGGTACATATCTCTGTCAAATATACAATGTGCTTCCCCGCCCCCAGCGCTTGGGCCAAAGCCCAGGATCTTGCACGTGCTAAAGTGCTTTACTACTGAGTTACACCCTTGTCCCAATATAATACACATTTTAAAAAATGAAATGTGGGCTAGCCATGTTGTTTAGTGGTAGGGTGCACACTTAGCATGAGACCCCGAGTTTGATCTCCAGCACCATGCACACAAAAAGTGAAATGCTACTGCTTTATATAACTATACTTTGTTACTATAACACATGGTCTATCTGCATTTAAAATTATCCTTGTAATAAGAAGCATTACCTCCATAATCCTCAGCCACAAAATTTTCTCATGCCCAGTAAGATGGTTAGTCAGCTGATACATGAAAAATATGGAAAGGGTGTAAAAGTAGAAAACATACAGGTTTTCTCAACATTTTTCTTCATCATTCCTGATTTTAAGAGTCTCTTAGCAAACTCCTAGTAGTAGGAGATAAATGCTAGGATCATGTAGATAATGGTTAATCATCCTCCCCTCTTCTTTTAAGCAAGCTTTAAATAAGCAGAACATTCTTATGAATACAACCTCTTATACTTTATAAGAACTAAATTTATTTCTCTTAAACCAAGATCCTGCTGTTTTCAGGACTATTAAGCATCAATCCTTAGTGTGTATTTCTATTCTCATTTCCTCCATTCTCTCCATTTCCTTTAGTTCCCCACATGTGTTTTCCTTCCATCCTTTCTTCCTTGCTGCCCAACAACCCACATCTATCTCTATTCAATTTGGTGATTTCAAATATGTTTTGACCACCAACTTTTGCTGACCCTATAAATCAATTACCATGCTTTTTACTTCAAAGAGAACAAAACAAAAATAATAAAACTCTCTCTGGAGCTCATAGGAAGAACAAAATTTTTGATGAATGGACAAGTAAAACAATTTTTCCAATAGTATCCAAATAGTACTGTGCAGAATAAGATAAACACACTATTTTTTTTTAACTTTCTTATTTCAGACTATGTAAACCCAGCAATGCATGAATCACCAAGCAATCCTTTCCAGTGAATCTGGGGAAGTCCTGTGGCTCAATAACCATCCTCCCAAAGGTAACAGATATGAGGGGGGAAAAGAATATGGAATTAACTACTGATTTTAAACCATTCGCTTTAAACCTTTGTAAAGAGTAATTTCATATATTTACAAGCTTTCACAGGATATATTATACTCAGGGAATGCTAAGATGTCAGAGACAAATTTGAAACTAACTCTGTCACTAGAATTGAGATAAACCACAGATGATCTAGCAATATCCAACACAATATTGTCAGGATATACACAACCCTAAGGTTATAAGTATTTCATGGAAGTATATGAAACAATTAATTATATCCCCACAATCAGTTGGGTTCTTATCAGACACACAATGTTAAATTCAATTTGAAAAGATGCAATATTTAAAAAGATTCAACATTTTAAAAATAATATTAAGTGAAATAAATCAGACTCACAAGCCTAAATATAACATAATTTCTCTTATATAGGAAACACAACATGTAAATAAAGATAAAAATAGATAACAGGAAAAAGGAAAATAGATCCTTTGCAAAAGGAAAGGAGACTAAGAGAGGGACAAGGGCAGGGGGGAGATGAGGGGAGGGGATGAAAAAAGAATTAAGATGTTCGTGTGTATACATCAACTCCCCATGAGGAATGTCATCACTATGTACTATGAACATGTACCTATAAAAAATAAGAAATTAAAAAGAAAACCTCTGTATATATCTTGAAATTTTCAGTTCAACTAGTTTTAATACAAGAAAATATGACTGGCTTTAAATTTCCTTTAGTAATACAAAATCTGTGAGCTTTATCATATGTTGAAGAAAACAGACAATATGACCCAAAATTGATTTATTTATCAAAGTAAAATACTTTTAAACATATATAAAATTGAAAAATAACTGATATTTTTTCAATAAAGATATCTATATCAGATTATATCAATATCTAATGAGACGATAAAACATGTTTAATCACTTTTACTCCATTTTAAAGTCACCTTATTGAACGATACATCATAAAATCAATAGTTGTACACCTAGGAAATTTACCAATAGAGCTCTCTTCCACTGGTGTGTATATTTTAATCTGTCTCATGTGGGTGTCTCTTCCATTTTGGTGATTGGCTAGAACAGCAATCTGTATCATGAATGTGCGCGTTGGCTTCTTGTGATTATCAGTTAAGGGAACGTGAATCCAGCCACTTGGTTCCACCAATTCAAGTTGCTGATAAGAAAAGAAAGTTAGATTATGCTTTCGCCCAATGCATACAATGTATAATAATGAATGTATTCTAAAATTAAATTGTAATTAACATTTTTTTCATTGAGAGAATGACAGTATGATAATAACCAGTTATTGGGCAATTTTACATTTATTCAACACTTTACATGAGTCACATTAGACAAAATAAAAATAGATGCATGAGTCATACTGCTTACAGAAAACTGTACTAGATAACAACAGAAAGAAAGCACATGTTTCAGCAGCCTTTAGAAATGTAAAGCATTTTTGCATAGGTTAAAAAATATAATTTTATCACATATTTAAAATAGGTAGCCAATGTGGAAAATAACAGTGAAATGCTATTACTGATAACACAAACAACATATTATTTCTGGTTTTCTATGTTCAAAAAAACAAAATGCTATTAAATGAAGAATACTAGCCTGTGTGTCAACTAAAGAAGATTGAATGCAAGTTCTATATCTTACCAACTATTTGAGCTTAGGCATATTATCATTGTAAGCCTGAATTATATAATTATAATTCATTTTAATAACATTCCAAAAGTGAGATTATCACCCACTTTATATGGGTATTAGAAAGAACAAATGAAACACTGCATATAAAGAAGCAAGCATAATATCGGACATATAGCAAATATTCAATAAACTTTTAAAATCAAGTTATATAAATTAAATAATGAAAGTACTTGAAATATGAAGGTACTTTATAGAATTTTAAGCATTTCTTGAATAGAAAGTAACACTATTATTATTATTATTATTATTATTATTATTATTTCTGCAACACTCTAGTTCTTTCTCCAAGGTGCTTTACAAAGGTTTCTTAACAGTGAGCATATAGGACCTTTATAAGTACTATACATAGATCTTGAAAATATGAATCAGAATGTGATTCTTAAAAGATGCCTTCTCCACTTAGCTCTTCCAGTGATGTGAGCATTTTACCAAATGGGCAACTTTCCAGTTACTTATTTTCTAAGGTGCTTTATAAAGGCTTAACAGTCCATATATAGATCCTTCACAGACTCAGAGATCTTGAAAACATGAATCAGGACATAATTCTTTCTTTAAAATTAAACTTATTTTTTAACTGATAACATAAAAACACAAAAATTGTACATACTAATGGGGCACCACATGATATTTTAATACTTGTATACAATGTGTAATCAGGTTAAATTTATCTCTTCAAATATTTAGTTCTTCATATGGCAAAAACATGCAAAATTCTCTCTTCCACTGTTTGGTTGCAATGGATAGTCACCCTACTTGCAACAGCACACTAGAATTTCTTACTCCTACCTGCCACTTAGTGCCAACTGATCAACCTCTCCCCAGTCCCCTCTCTCCCTCACTCTCTTGGCCCTCAAGTAATTACTATTCCAGGCTCAATTCTATCTGATTAACTTCTTTAGATTTCATATATGAGCTAGATCATACAGTACTTGTATTTTTTTTTTTTTGCTTAAGTTCTTTTATTGGTACATTTTAGGTATATAATACATTTACATTTGTCATTGGGTGCTTGTACCTGTACATGATGTATCTTGGTTTCTATTTTTTCCCCTTTACCTGTGCACCCTTCACCCCCCTCCACCCTTCACCCCCCTCTACCCTTTATTTCACTTACATAGTGGCTTCCAGTTCCATCCATGTTGTTGCAAATGAAAAGATTTCATTCTTTGGTTATTTGCATTTCATGGCTATTGTAAACAGTGATTTCATTTTCTTTTGGTATATACTCAAATAGGACTGCTCGATCATACAGTAGCTCTATTTTGAAGTTTTTAAGGAATCTTATACTTTTCCATAATGGCTGATTTACATTTCCACAAATAGTATGCAAGAAGGTTCCCTTTTCTCTACATCCTTATCAGTATCTATTATCTTTTGTCTTTTTTTTTTTTTTTGGTACTGCTAGGGATCAAATGCGAGGCCTTGCTATACTAAGCACACGCTCTATCACTGAAATATCCCAAAGCCCCATCTTCCGCCATAGATAGTAGCCATTCTCTCCATGAGATAATATCTTACTGAGGTTTTGATATGCATTTTTCTCATTATTTGTGGTGTTGAACATTTTGCATATACCCGTTGTTCATTTATATGCTTTAGTTTTAGAAATGTTTATTTAGATCTATTTCCTATTTTTAAATAGGGTTATTAGGGTTTCCTTGCTCTTTTTACATTCCGAATATTAACCCCTTATATGTAGTTTGCAAATATTTTCTCCCACTCTATAGGTTTTCTCTTCACTCTGATGATTGTTTCCTTTGCTATGGAGAAGCTATTCAGTTTGAAGCAATCCCATTTGTCTACATTTACTTTTGTTTGATGTGCTTTTGGGATTGTATCACAAAAAATCTTTGGCTATTGCACTGTCCTTAGTTTTAATGAGCTTATGCTATTTCTTTGAAGAAGTCTCTGATTCTTTGTAATAATCTTACATATTAGTTATTTTCCCTAGAATGTAACTAGTCCCTTGAAACAAATCAGAACACTTCCTCAGGTTGTGGTAAAGTGCTTGCCTAGCATGTACAAGGTCCTGAGTTTGATACCCAGAACTACAAAATAAGTAAGTATATAAATGAATACACTTGGTGGTAAGCAAAAAACACTGCTTCATCATGCCTTTCTGCCATGATGTTTCTGCTTTGGAGCTAGCTGATCAAGACTGAGTTCCCTTAAAATATGAGCCAAACTAAACCTCTCCTCCTTTAGGTTGCAAGTACTGGGTAGGTGTCCAGCAACAGGAAAGGTGACTAAGGAGAGTGTTATAAGAAGGACAATGGGTACCTCTAAAGGATAGGAAAAAGACTGTGATAAGGAAGGAAGGGAAAGATAAGGAAAGAACGAGAAGAAGTATATTCCCAGCTTCTGAGATGTTCATAATGTTCTATTTCTTACACTAAATAGGTAATAGAAATGTGTGTGTTTCGTGGATATTAGGGGGAAACACTAAGAACACAACAGAATCTATCACAGAAAACCTATACATGCATGTACTTGAGGCTTAGCTTTTTCACAGTGCTTGATATTCCAGGTAACATTATTATTTGTTATGACCCAAGCCATAAAATAAGTGAATAAATTAAAATTTAAACATTTTAGAAAAAAAGTGAAATACAATTTAAGTCTGACAAAACCTTACACAAATATATGCAGTTAGGTATTTTACATATATGAGTAATTTTTAAGGTACCACAAATTGAAACAGTACACTATCATTCTATCACTATAAATTTGTTTTACATTTGTTCTGTTTGTAAAACAGAATAGTGATGTTCATTTTAGGGAATTAACTGGTACATGCATATAACATATCTTGATCATTTTCAATCTCCTACCTCCTCTCCTTTTCCTCCCCAATCCCCCTGGGTCTCTTCTCGATCTTTGGTACCAGGGATCGAACTCAGGACTTTGCGCTTTCAAGGCAGGCGGCGGAACCACTGAGCTAAATCCCCGGTCTCTTCTCCGTCTTTGAAAGTTTACCATCTACTTTCTTATCATCTCTCCTTTACTTTACTCATTTGTTTATTTCTAGTTTTGGTTTCCCAAAAGAAAACATACAATATTTAACTTTCTGAGTCTGGCTTCATAATTATCTCAAATTCCACACATTTTCCTGAAAGGAACATGATTTCATTATTCTTTATGGCTAAATAATATTCCACTGCACATTTCCTTTATCCATTCATCTAGATGGGCATACAGACTCCTTCTAGATCTATTGTGAATTTTGCCACTATAAACATGGGTATGCACATACCACTTGATGTCTTTACTTCTTTTCATAAGATACTCAAGAGAGGTATAGCTGGGTCAAAATGTATTTCTATTTTCAGATTTTTGAGGAATTTCCATACTGGTTGTACTGGTTTACATTCCTACCAATGAAAGGGGGTTCCTTTTTCCCCATATCCTCACCAGCATTCACTGTATTTTGAGTTTTTGATGGAGTAAGATGGAATCTCAATGTTGCTTTGATTTCCATTTCTCTAATGGCCAAAAATACTGAACATTTTTTCATGTGCCTATTGGCCACTTGTACTACTTCTTTTGAAAGGTATCTATTCATTTTAATTTCCCATTTTTTTCAGTTGGCTTTTTATTTTGGGGGTCTAATTTAAGTTTTAAAAAATATAGTCTAGATAACAGTGCTCTATCAGAAGAGTAACTAGCAAAAATTTTCTCATTCTGTAGGTTGTCTCTTCACTCTGTTGATTGTTTCCTTTGATGTGCAGAAACTTTTTAATTTGATGTGATCCCAACTGTTGATTCTTGATATTATTTCCGGTGTTTTTGAAGTTTTATTCAGGAAATGTTTATGTCTATGGCCCTAAGTGTTTTTCTTATGTTATCTTCTAGCAGTTTCAAAGTTTCTAGTTTTACTATGCCTAGGTCTTTGGTCCATTTTTACTTGCTTTTAGTACATGGTATTGTTTCCTGTGTTTCTGAAGTTCTATTCAGGAAATGTTGATGTCTATGGATTTAAGTTTTTTTTTTTATGTTATCTTCTAGCAGATAACTTGCCTTACCTTTTTAACAAAGAAGCTAAGGCAAGACATATAAGAAGCAGGAAAGAAACATAACGCACACTTTTGATCAAGTGACATCTCTTTCAAGAAAGAAAAACAAGTCACATACAAAGCATTACAAATCAAAAGTGGCATGGGCTGGGGATTCAGCTCAGTGATTCCGTCGCTTGCCTTGCAAGCACAAGGACCAGAGTTCAATCCCCAGTACCAAAAAAAAAAAAAAAGTGGCATTATACTTTTCAATATCCACAGTGAAAACTATGAGGCAATACAGAATGTATTTAAAATTCTGAGGAAAAATATCTCCAGAGTAGAATTCCATACCCAGCCAACTGAGAGACTGTTACTACAAAGTTATCACAATTCTTTGGAAGTGGTAGATAAGCAGAATTTTAACCACAATATAATCTTAAATACATTTTATGGGAATACAAAACTC